GCACAAAGATGGCGGACGCCCATATTTGGATAGGTCGAAATAGGTCAGTGACGTCACGTGAAAGCCAAGAATCCCTTACCATTCTTATTATTTATTCATTTATTCAATTTTTTAGGTTATCATTTGGGGAAAGTATTATTAAACCTGAACTTAAACTTATCATGATTGTGATGGTGTGCATGCATAGTGTATCCGATCTGATGATTTACTGCACACATGAAAAATGTTATTTTATTAAACGGTGACCAGACGTCTAAAATGTCGTCTACTATCTTAAAGAATATACATGGTGATATTTGAACTTACAAACACTGCTATCGACAAAGTATCAGTGTCAAAACACAAGGTTTCAGACATACAATAGTTGAACTTAACTTGGCTATGTCCGAGTTCTGATTATGATGTGGATACTGTTATCCTAAATTTTTCGGGCACATTGTGTCTTCAGTCGCTTCTCATTCTCTAAAAAATCTCAGTGTTTCTTCATTTTTTCTATTAATGACTGTTTCTTTTGGAAAATGAAGCCATAATCAAAACCGGTGCCCTCATTGTTGAGCAGTATCTATTTAATTCGCCTCGGCATTGCTTCGATACTCTTCGCTATTAGTTTCTGGTGAAGTTTATCAAGGCCATAGAACTGTGCTTCTTGCAAAAGCAAATCAAATTCTTCAAAATTTTCGGGTAACAACAGCATCTCAGTACGAAGATAATTCAGAATGTGACGGAAAACAACTCCATCCCTGTCGAAGAAGAAATTGCCTTGTTCATCGGTTGCCGCTACGTCTTTCTCGGCGGTTAGAAGTCTGTACAATAACGAGCCTCTCTCGCAGCGATTCAATGTTGAGAGACTTGTAAGGTACACTTGGCCTCCAATGTTTAGTCCAATAAATTCAGTTTCACTCACCGCGGACATGGGTGTGTGAGACAGTCAACACTCAAGAAAGATAGATCGGTTCTCGTTTTCCTCGATCAACTACTACGGTAGAAAGTGGTTCCACTTTCCCTGATTGATAACTTTTATAACGTTTTCACCTGTTGATTTTGGAGTGGCGTTTCAATAAGCAATTTGTTCTGGCTAGGTTGTTCTGTTTATTTGGGAGTGTTCATTTCTTGGAAATTGCGTACCTTTACCTTGTAAATTATGCGTATTATTTTCAATGCATTTAGTTAACTTCATGACCTACCGTCTGCTCCAAGTATCTTACTCAACGGGATCAGTGAGCTATGACGTATTTCCGGGTCCAACTCGAATAACAAAAAAGTTGAAAGTTTGAAGTTTGGCCAAAAAAATATTGTCATGTTGACTTGGTTTGTCAGTTTGGTAGTTGTCTTATTATGTAAATCGCATTTAGCTCACATGTTTTGCCTTTCTAGAGATGTTGTCTGACAATCACCTTCGATAAACGATACCCCATCATAAATTCGCGTTTTTATGTTCACTCAATGTTAGTTGTGCGAAAGCTGTCAAACTTTGGTTAAAATTCAGTAGTATTAACAGTTGCTTAGTTACATTATATCAACTTGTCTTATTCAGCCACGTGTAACTTATTTGATTGGTACTATTAGATATGACGTCTAATTCAAGTAGGTGTCATATTTCGTGGAATTGTATCTCAGTTTTGAGACTTCAAGAGTTTTGAGAATTCAATGAAAACACCAAATAGACATGAAAAACTAAGAGAAATCTGAAAACAACTATTTACGAAAAAATGAGCTATATTTGCTCCGAAACTTAGTTTAAAAATGAGAGATTTTGAAATGCAAAATCATTCCAATTCACAATCTCATTTTTCATGATATGTAGTGTTGATTTGGTTTAAATTATAATGATTTACTGCATAAATATAGCTATATATTGCGGTCTAAAAGCTAAGAATTATACGTGTTGAATTTTGGTGGGCTATTGTGTTTGTCAGAGTATCTTCCTTCATCTTAATGACTGTGTTTTTAATTTAGATCTTGACGCCACAGAATCGGTGCTTTTCGTTGCGCTTCATTATCTATTCTTCGCCTTTCCTTTATCCTTCGCTGCGTTAATTATTTCCTCTTTAAGTTTTGATAGCTCATAGAACTGAGCCTCTTGGAAGAGCAAATCAAACTCTCCAAAATCTTCGGGTAGCAAGAGTTTTCCAGTACGAAGATAATTCAGAATGTGACGGAAAACGACTCCATCCCTATCGAAGAAGAAATTGCCTCGTGCATCGGTGGCAGCTCGTGGCGGTGCGAATAAACGTGTTGGCGGTGTACCTAAGACCGACTCGCGCAAGAGCGAATGCTCTTCGCAGCGATTCAACGTAGACCGAGTAGTAAAGTAAACGTGGCCTCCAATGTTCAATCCAATAGGTTTCTCATTCACTGAGGACATGTGAATATATATGTGTAATACAATCAAGACTGGTTGTTTTTCGAACTTGAACGCTAGGTACAGAATCACTTTCCCTGCATAAAGAGATTGATAATGTTTCAGCTCTTTCACCTGTACACGTTTGATTGGCGTTTACGAATAAGCAATGCATCTCATTGGCTGAATTTTGCCTTGCTTCAGTTCTATGATTTATGTGAGCGCTCATTTCTTGGAAATTAAGTGGCCTGATTTTTAATTTTCTTTTTGCATTCATTAACTCGATCGACTGTCTGCTCCCAGTATCTTTCAGAACAGGATCAATCACCAAAATTACCGAATTTTGGTATTCCTTTTGACAGTCAAAAAAGTTCAAAAGAAATCTCTCTTCAAATTTTTAGTGTTTTAACTGTATTTGAACTGTATTTGTTTTAACTGAAATGTATTTTCAAGGATTTTCTTTCACTATTAAGGAGGCTCTGGGTAGTTTCGGTCAGGCACATTGAAACTGCTACAGCTTCGTCTTGAATAACTCGATCTGCAAGCGCTTTTCACACAATGTCAGAAAAGGGTTAAGGGTTTCAAAAATGATAAATTAGTTTAAAGCGGCCTTTCCATTATGACGTAATGATGACATCATAGAAATCATTTACCCCTTATTTTCTCGAAAACTAGACCTAAACTTTCAAAGCGAATTGCACCAGTCGATAGTATTCATCAAGGCACCCAACATATTGCAATATGAAAAAAATGTATGACAGCGTTTTCCAAATGTTACGCGATGAATATTTTCGTCAAATAAAAATAAGTACGCCCACAACTATTTTCGCTCACGGCTGCACCGCTTGTTGATTTTTCACGCTTGACTTCCGTGTTATTCCTTGTCGTGTGTCGTTAGTTGTGAGCGTACTTATTTTTATTTGACTGCCTTAAAACCCTTCAATGCATATGAAATTAAAGGAGAATATTTGTAAAAGATACATCTCTTAGTGACTTCATTTAGGTTTCCCAGAAAACAAGCGTTACGCTAACGCTTCGATTCAAATTGACGCTCTACCTGTTTACTTAGGCTTTTTTACTCGCTCAAAAGTTTATTTGATCAATTAAATCGATAAAAAAGGTGCTGAAAAGGACAAAATTCCATTTTAATTGATGTAAAGATTATGGACACAGCAAAACAGAATGCAAATCACGTCAAAAGGCAAAGAATTCCCTAAAGCCTGTGCAATCAGATTTCGAGATTTCATTTGATTTTTGAAAATAATTAAGGAATATTAGAAAACAAAAAATGACGCCAAAAATCGAATRATGAAATGAATAATGCATTCTAGATGGGCACGCTTCATGTCCTTTGACCATAAGAAGAAGATATATTTAGTTTGGTTGCCTACTAAAGTACACATCTGAATATCACAATAAATAACACCAATGATGATCGCAGTAAACTACACCATACAAAAATAACTAATACAGTATGGAGGTTTCCCTTTGCTTAATAGTTCCTAGGTTACGCGATACGTAATGTCCTAGGAATCTTTTCTCTAGCTTCATTTGTCTTCTTCAAGTATGGCAACGTCTAGTTGTTTTTTCTTTCAAACAGCCAGATTTCAGACTCAATGCCTCCATCACGACCATGGGCTACTGATTTACATGTGAAACCATTGGATGTAAGAACCTTCACCCAAGCACTCCATGTCCAGGCATAACAGCTGCCCTTTCTCTGTGTGACGATACTCTGTACTTGAAAGTCGTCAATTTGTTTACGACTGCCATCGCTACTTGTGGTACAGCGTTTTGACAATGTGCCGGTTGAGATGCATATTTCTCCCCACTGGACATCATCTTTAAAAATGGTTTCTAACACATCTCTCGGTCCAATTAGCTGATAGTCCTTCGACCCATCTCTGCGAGGTTTCTCTAGCTTCAGATAATCAACGTTGGCGAGTGCTTGTTCTGCCATATCGAAATCTTAACAATCTGCTAAGTACTGCTTGTTCTTAGCAAGAGACGACGATGAGTGAACTAAAACGAAGCTTTTTGCAGACTATATTCTTCCGCAGAGGCTCAGGGGGACTGGAAAGGAGTGAAGGATGTACTTGATGCTTTATATGGTGCACATTGTCACTATGGACTTGCCACAAGTCGTCCTCGCTGTCTGTATTGGTTTAGCGGGCGAAGCGCGACATATTTAAGCGAGCAAATTGCGAGACGAAGCGCCGCTAAGAATGTCTTATGAAAGTCTATGTTCGGCCCGCGCTAGCGGTGCATCACCCCAGAATTAAGAAAAAATGGTAAACCATTGAGTTGATTTTTCATGGCTTGGCTGCCGTCACTTCCGTACGTACGTACGTACGTACGCCCGTGTATACAACACAGGGATCCCACTTGATGTCAAAGCAAAACTACTCGCAATTGCGGCTCTCAAATACACAGAAAAATAGCTGTAGGACAAATTATAGACCAACAGGTAATAAAAACAACTTTCATGTAGTCAAAGATGGATCAAGAGGTGTTCTTCAAGAATTCAGGTGTGTTTATTTTAGCAAACAATGCGTATATTATTATTGAAAAGCATTTTTTTCGACGACTCTACAAATCAAAGACTCTCTCTCAAAATTTTTAATGTTTCTATAGATAAGCTTAATTTATTTTAATTCTGAATGAAATATAACACGAAGAGCATATTACAACAAATATACGTCCTTTATTTGACTTTGTAAATCTTTAACAATTCAGTTGTTTTTAACCAACTATCGTATGTTTTTCGTTCAAGAAAGATGCAGCTTTGTTTGCCACCTGTCGCGGGTTTCATATCGGCAAAACAAAGCTGAAGAGACTTTCATTCAATAATTTTATATCTTTCTACAGATAATTTGTTCAATTATGGAATGAAATATAAATTTATTTACAAATGAGCTTAAATTTGTGTTGTTGAGAGATGTTATTGTATAAAGACTTTGTCTTTCAATTTAAAAAGCTAAAAAATATTCAAAAACATTTACAAATGCCAATTTACGGACAAACAAATTAGTTACTTTGTATTTTGCATTATTTTCTATTTTGTCTCAGTTGTTCTTGTGAAGTTTAATAACTGAATGTAAACTTTGTTTTTCGAATACTTTTGTCGTTCGTGATTTTCGTTAGCCTAGGAATTTTGATGTTCTTTAATTAAAATTTATTAGCGTAACCAGGGATCTTGCACAGGCAAAGATTTGCAGAACCAAATAAATAWAAAAAAAATGGAAAGTGGTCTTCATTTAATCAAAAAAACATTTACATGCAATTTAAAAGCAAAAGGAGATAGATGAGCGGACCTTAAGCTTTTATTACGAAACTAGCCCCTAGGGTGGCTGGTGGTGAGTTGTCCGTGTAAGAAATTCCTAAGCGGGAGAGTATAATCGAGCAAAGAAAACAATGTAGTGCATTTTGATTCGATTTCAATGCATGGTTTTTATTATGGGATACGTTATCTTCATCTCGAATAAAAATAATTGAAGATTATTTTCCCGATCTTCTTTTTACCTTTCATATTCATTCAAATTGGGCTCCCTAATTTCGTATCGGGAGCTCCGCCGTTAGGCACTGCCTAAATATATATATTACAGTAGCCTATGAAAAAACGTCCATCCGACACGAAGGTTCCAAGCTTTGGAACAGGCCGATATACCCTCATACAAGAATGACTAATGCAGTTCGAACACAGGGAGCCCGGCTTTAAAATTTGTACATGAATAAAAAAAATCAATAAGTGCTTTATTGGGTTTCCTGTGTTTAGAATTTGTTCATGAATAAAAAACATCAGTAAATGCTTTATTGGGTTTCCTGTGTCATTTGAGATTTGAAACAAGACGCTGATACGTTGAATTTCCGGTAATCGTACTAACCAGTAACTTGATAGCAGATTAACGTAACGTATCAGTGTAACGCACGTCCTAGTAAATGGTAAGAAAGAGAGAAGTCTCTCTTTCTTACCATTTACTAGAGAGTACGTTACACTAATACGTTAAATTTGAATTATAAGTTGCTCTCGAGTTACTTACTGTTACGGCTGGGGCAATCTTTCGAGTTTCCCCGGGTCGGCCGTGTTAGAACAGCAAATCACTTACTGAGATTCCATCATTCAATCACTGCATTTATTAGAATCACGTAAAGACTGGGTAAAATACAATAAGGTATATCTGTATTAGTTAAAACCGCTTACAAATAGAAAAATGTACTTGATTAGGGAATGATTATGCAACACGTGGTCTAGCGATACTTAGAAATGAAT